AAGTTGACAATGAGCATTTAGCATCGCAGACACACACAGTGGATGCTGATGAGCTCTAACACACTCCTGGGTACCAGTATCACACTCAGGTGCTCAGGTTTATGTGGATATCCACATGGGAAATGAGTGTCTCTAAATTTTCTGTTCTGGCTTCTATTAAATGTCTATATGTATATAATGAAAAGAAAAACCAGAAATATAAAGTTAAGGATTGTTACAGGGTCTCTGCAAAGGCTGGGATGCATCATGTCCAGGCATTTGATCAACACCTGTCCTGCATTTAGCTAACCACTGCACTTTTCAGCACAGCTAGCAAGCATGACTACAAGGAAATCAGACTCAGACACATTAGCCAGAATACTTGTAAACAGTACAATATTAGTAATGCCTGCAAGTACAATAGAAATAGCAATGATGACCAAAAAAATCAGTTTCTTCAGAAAGGATGAAATTTCTGTGTCCATTTCATTATATAGCCTCATATGTTCATGTCTCAAATTCATGCATATGATACATACATGCAATTCATAGATGCAATATATTTTATTAGTTTCCTGTTAATTCATTAATTAAATGCTTTATTGGGTTTCAACATGTTGTGTTCATATATGCATATATTTTATCATATATGCCTTACAACTCCCCCTAAAAATGCTCTACTCACCTACCTTTATTCTTCACTCCTTATCTGATGACAGTTGCACTTTGTAACTGCTAACCCTGATGTGTCAACTCCATTGAATAAAGAAAGGCCTCGCATATTTGCTGTTATATCATGGGTGCAAGACTTTGGATATGCTGTGTCAGTAATGGTGAACTACTGAGAGCTTTGAATGATAAACACTCTCCTGCGGCAGCATGTGTGACATAGCCTCATCAATGTCACTGCCTATGGTCCCTCTCTTACCCCTCTCTGGCACTGCTCTTCTTCCCAACCTGCATGGACTGAGTAGCTCTGCTCTTCTCCACCCTTCTGCCGTGGCTTCCTCCCTCAGAGCAAATGCACCATAACATGAATTGTCCAAAATGAGAAGCCTAACTAAACTTGCCCTCCTCGAGGTCATGGGTGTCACATATTGGGTCAAAGCAATAGAAATACTAATACAGAAAATGGACTGCAGAGAAGTGGGGTGGTTGTTGTGCTGCACTTGAGTACATGGTTAAGAAGCCTTTAAAGCCTGATTTATAGAAGGAGCTTGCAAAGGTTTGGAAAACCAGGCTATGAAAGCTCTGGACTTCTGAAAACAGCTTGATGGTGGTTCTGGTTTGGACAGCAGAATATTAGGGTGCCCAAAGAAAACAAATGGTAAATAGTAGGCTTGGGAGTTTTCCATTGTAATCAAGAATTCCACTGGCATTTATTGTAAAGTTCATGTGGTTTACACTTAACATTTTCTACATTATGCTCATCCACTAAGCAGTATTGGGCATGATTAAGATTAAGTAGAAGGGGTAATTGATTGTCTGAGGAAATTTCAAGACAACCACGTATTTGTGCTGTACAACGGCAACTTTTGGCCTCTTGTAGCCAGATTTATATTGTAAGCCAAAGGCAAGTGGCAGAGCAGATAAAAATTAGGAGAATTAAAACCATGACCTAAAACAAACTATAAAAATGGAGACAAAAGAGGTATGGCTGCTAAAGAATTAAGTAATAAACTGAGAAGAAATCTAGTGCTTTGTATGAAGACAAGGCAAAAGATGAGCAGTGAGCATGTGAGGAATCAGGAAGACTTTGCCAAATGCAGACTCAAGGTGCAAAATTTGCTCTCACTTATGAAGAGAATTCCCTGAAAAAATGTGTGAATCAGTTGACTCTGGGCAGCTCTTTTTGCATTCTAGTCAACAAGAGTGTCAATGGAATATGAGAAAAATACTACATCTTGAGATAGAAAGAATACTGGCCAAAAGACACTGAGCTCGGTTCCACTGCCAAAGAACCCTATCTGGTCTGATTTTTGGGGTCCTTATTATAGGTCAAGAGTGACCAATCACTCAATGTGCTGTGCTCTGAGGTAGCTCTCCTTAATCTATGAAGAATTATCTCATTCTAAGTATTATGTTTCTCAAGGGTTTTTGGTATATATCTCTCAGTAAAAATCCTATTTTTCTTGTGTGAATGTTGTCTCACCATCTTCAGTGTCTCAGCAGGGGTATCATGCTCTGTGAATGTGCTTCACACTCTGTTCCCGATGAATAGTTTTGGTAAGAATAAATGCATCCTGTCGTCTTAAGGCAGACAACTGATGAGATGCTAAAACAAGGCCAGCTGTGATCCGGGTACTTACAGAGGTGCTAGCTGAGATTATGGATAGAAACATAAATGGAGGTGGTCCTTTTTCTTGGCAAGAGTCACTCAGATCCATATAACTGTAGCGTGTGACATCTATGACACCTTTGACTCAATTCTTTATTATTCTGGACAACATTGCTGCAGCATAAACAACAAAAAAAATACACAAAAAAGCACTTGAGAGGCTGAAAACAGGAGAATCACCACGAGTCCAATCTATGTTGTGAGACACCATAGACCTGTAGCAAATACACACACCCACAAAAAACAAAAAACAAAAAACAAAAAAACAAAAAAAAAAAAAGCCATAGAGACAAAGACCCAATTAACATTGGCACTTAATTTCAAACACCCGTCCAGAGCCCTTCTTTGGGACCTCACTGGCACTTAAAGCCATACCCTGACACCACATATGGCCTGGGTGTGTCAGGAGTTCAACTTCAGCTCAGAGATCTGAATGACAAAGTTTGCACAGCTCCTGTGGCCTGGTATCTCCACACTCTTCGTGGACCTCATCAGACAGGAGTGGACAGTGGTCAGGGCCTTCAGAAGGAACATCCTTCCAGAGTCTAACTCTTGACCTTTATCCAACCGTTGCTCACTCACCTGCCTCCCAAGTGAAGCCTCATGAGCACTTGTGTGTCCAGGTCCTTCACCCAGATGTGCTGATTCAGCTGCCCTTGCACTTGATCCCCTAGGACAGACAAGCACACTCATCTCTATCCTGGGAACTGGGGACAAAGTTACACTGTGGAGCCGAGGGTAGAGCCCTGTGCTCCCGATCTTAGGAGCAATAATGCTGTGGTTGGTAAACAGAAGATGGTCTCTGACTACTTTTCAGTTTTACACTCAACCTAAATCAGTACCTGAATACCCAGGAACATGAAGAAATGGGAAAATTCTGATCATCATTGTGGGTCAGAGTATAGCAGGAGAGACAGCTTCTGTGTAATCTCCAGTGAAACATGCAGAGGTGGGCATGAGAAGGTCCTCTGCTCATATCTGTGCCTAATTTTCTACTACTGTCTGGACACTCAGCTTGAAAGAAGTCCACAGACCAGACTGGGAAAACTACCACCTTCTAAGCTTTTTTTCGTTTCTTGCTAAAATTATGCTTAAGAGAGTGATGTCATTTCTATGTAGTGCCAGGTCTCGGTCCACATCAAATATCTGCACCCTGTAACATGTTTCCTTAATCTGTTCTCAGAAATGAGAGACTATTCGACAAGGCATGGTCGTTACAATTCATGGGTGCAGATTTAAGTTCCTTGTCGGAAAAGCAGCAACTTCACACTCAAAGCACAACCACAAGCAGCAGCTCCTCGGTTATCTCGCTTATCAACTGAGGGAGCAATTGCCCAACACAGAAGACAGGCTCCACGAGGGAATGCGCTGTGAAGCAGCCTGTGTTATTCAAACATCTGCTGACATCCAAATTAATTAAGCGCTGGCAAGTTATTTATCACTGAAAGTGTAACCACTTATCAAAATCTAATCATAGTGATTCTGAAACTGATCTCTTCAAATCACAATCACACCAAAGATTCTAGGAAAAAATTCTGTTAAAAATGAATGAAAGATGGTGAATTTATTATCCATAGAGGAGGCCCTTCTACCCTGCATAAAGTACCTGGCACAGGTAGTGACTGTGAGAGAATTATGTACAATTGCCGACTTGAGGTTTTCAGTACATGCTGCTTCCAAACTGCACATTCTATGAGTCTTCTTTCATTTTCATCAAGTTCTATCAAATATGAAGGGAACTGAATAAGCTAAATAGTAGAAGAGCAAGCACAAGTCAAGTTACATGAGGGAAGTTGGAATTCTGAGTAATTTAAAATAGAATATAAAATGTTTTCATAGGAGAATCACATACCAAAAAAGAATATGATGTTTAACCCATAATTTTCAGGCACGCCTACCATTTCTACACAAGCGTCCTTCTAGGAGTGAGATTCTATAGTCATCAGAGAGTATATCAAATCACAGGACCTTGAATTCTGATCACCCTTATGAGAATGGAAACAGAAATGATGTGCTCTATGGCCTCTGAGACATGGGCAGATGTGTGCCCTGTGGTCAGCAGGGCCCGCTGTGGGGCTGCCCTGCGCCTCTGCACAGTTGGATGGGAATAACTATTCACACAAAGGACCCTGGCTAGAGCACCGAGGCCACTGCTCACTGACATGCTGAGCTGCCGTGTCATCTGCAGCCTTGCAAAGCACTTCAAGTGAGGTTTGGTCTTCTTTCAGAAGATGCTTCCTCCCAGGACTTTCACAAAGTAGAAATGAAACTCTCTTCCTCCTCCTCTTCCTCCTCATCCTTCTCTTCCTCCTCCTCTTCCTCCTCCTCTTCCTCCTTTAACAGTGTGAGCTGAACTCCAGCATCAGAACACAGGAAGGTCCCGGACAGACAGGATGCAAACACATTTGCATGAATGTTCCTCCCACAGGCGCTGAGCAAGAAAAGGAGGCCTGGGCCACTCCAGCCACTGTTAGGATAAGAGGGCTGCTTCCACCATGGCCTGGACTCCTCTTCTCCTCCTCTTCCTCTCTCACTGCTCAGGTAAGAACGGGCCTTGCAGACAACTGGGCAATTTCAAAACCTCACTAGATGTCTTCTGCTGTGATAATTGTAAAACTTTAGCCTGATCATTGTTCCCTAATTCACTGAAGACTGTATTTGCAGTTTCCCTGTCTCAGGCTGTGGTGACTCAGGAACCCTCCCTGTCTGCATCTCCTGGAGCATCTGCCAGACTTGCTTGCACCTTGAGAAGTGACATCAGTGTTGGTGGTAAAAACTTATACTGGTACCAGCAGAAGCCAGGGAGCCCTCCCAGGTTCCTCCTGTATTACTACTCAGACTCAGATAAGCAACTGGGCTCTGGCTTCCCCAACCGCTTCTCTGGCTCAAAGGACAAGTCAGCCAATGCAGGTATTTTGCATATTTCTGGGCTGCAGCCTGAGGATGAAGCCGACTACTACTGTGCCATCTGGCACAATAGTGCTCTCACAGTGACACTCTCTGATGGAGAAGTGGCACAAAAACCCAGCCTGCCCTGGCAAGCAGACTGTGATGCCTTATAAAATGTAAAAGTAACTTTTATCTGCATTAAGTATGCTTGAATTTAACTACATTGTGACACTGTTCATCAACTCAAAGTAGCAAACCATATTGCTAGAAAGTCAGGAAAAAAAAAACAAGTTATCTGTGATATCCTCTAAATTTTGCTTTGGTGGTCCAGTGATTTGAAAATAAAAAAAAAGGAATATGGTGCAACAATTTTTATCATTTTATCATTCAGACAAAAATGAGAAGAAAAGGAGTGGGTCTTTCTTTGGCTCTCCTGGTCAGCGCTGAAGGCCATCCCAGCAGGAAGGTTGTCTTGAGAGCACGGATGCTGCACTTGCAGATATCATGAAGATCTTTCCTATAAAGAGAATAAGAATATCATAATTTCTCTCCATCAACTGTGGAGAACAAACGCATTCTTAATCCCTGAAATGGACTAGCAGGGCTTAGGGAGCAAGGCGAAGAATGAACCTGCGCATCCAAGTGTTTAGGAGTAGAGGAACCATCGGCATAGTGCAGACAGAGGAAGAGAAGAGAAGTGATGTACATTGGTCCAAGACTCAGATATATAGATATATAGATATATTTGGCTACAAATGGTCCTTTATTTATATTTCCCTTTTTGTTTAGTTTTGTCAGAGATGGGTATTCCACTGCCATTCAGATATTGTAGGTGCATGAATTCAGCAAAATAATCCAGAATAGGATAGATATACAGCTACTATCTCTTAGTTGAAAGAAAAGAAAGATTTGTACTAAGAGTGTTTAGACAAGATATCATGTCTGCATTGTGTACTCTGAATAACTACTATGAAGACAACAATATGCAATGTATTAATTATTGTTACTGTCCTACTAGCCTGTTTTGAAACTGTCTCATTGCTATTTCTTTCTAAGTAAAATTAATTAAAATAATATATAGGCTCTACCCACAAATAAGTCCCAGTTAAGTGCCTCAACTGTATACAAGACAATTAAGATAGTTATACTACTATTTTCTATTAGTTCATGGAAAGATAGGTTGTGTTTATATTGTTTGATCAATGTTTCATACCTATACATTGTAATATGAGCACCTAGTTTGAGGGTAATAAAGTGCAAAGTACTAACAATTGTTACTTTCCTTCTATCTTGTTTTGAAATTTAGTGTCATTGTTTTTTCTGCTTTTTTCTTTAAAATAAAAATGACAAAGATAAAAATTTCAAAAATATATAAAGGATTTAAAAAAGAAAAACAAGATTCAGATCTTTGCTTCTGAGTCACATGACTTGTGTGAAAGCTGGCTCCTAACTCGTGTATACTTAGCTGGTGTCTGCATCCCAGACAGGATTACTAGCACTCAATTTTTACCTCACTTCTGAGAGACTCTTCAGATCAGAAATGCATTTCTTTTCTGAAAATGGAATCAATACTACCCACAAATTCCAAAGGAAAGTTTAAGGTAGAGGATCAGAGAGACCTGAAACTTCAGCAGACTTTCAGCAGATGCAGAGTACAACCCACGTGACTCTTGGCTAACAAAATTCAATGGATTCAAGGATTTGAAACCAAAAACTTTCAAAGGGGGGCATGTTCCACTTTTCCTCAAAAAGTTCAATGGAAAATGAACTGGGAAAACAAAGAAATTAAAAATGAGCACCATTCCAAATCATTAATACACCATGCCGAATTGTGCGCATGTATCAATACCTAGGAAACAAGTTAAAAGTCACCCTATCAAGCACTGGGCAAATCAAAAGGTGAATGAGAAAAGACCAGCTCCAGATAGCTCCACTGAAAATGACTCGGGGGCTGATGTTTTATAATAGAGATTGTCAAACACCTATAAAATCCTGATGACAAAACATTTCATATGTCTTTGACACAAATGGAAAAGGGAAAAATAGATGTCATGAAAGCAAAAGTATTGTAATTTTAAAAATCAAAAAATAAAGTTTAAAAATCAAATTGTTAACACTTGAGGTAGAAAAGATTTATTTTCTAAAACTTTTGAAACAGTGAAGGAGATAATTTGGAGAATTCGTTGAACTGCTCCCTAATTCCTGCTGATCTAGCTTCTATTTTGCTGTTTAATATGTACAGAAATTGGTTTCTTTTTTACTACTGATTTCTCTTTGTTCACTCAAAGGAATGTTTCGTTCTTTTGATGGGCCCTTCGGTGTAAGAGAGAGCTTTGTCTATGACTTCTACTCAGAGTTCCATGTTGGCCATTTTCCTAAGACGATGACAGAGTGTTAACCATTGTCATTATAAAATCTTTACTTTATGGAGTGAACATAAAATAGTTCACTCCATAAAATAGAAGACAGTCAGTGCACCTAGAGAATAGACTACAAATAGTTATGAAAGCACACTAGGGGGCACTGTCCGCCTTCTCAAGGGTTGGCAAAGCCTGGAACACAGAACTCACAGTAAATGATCTGATTTGTGCTCAGAGGCCTGAGTTAGTTACAGCAGGTGCTTCCTCTCCTGGGAGAATGCTGTGCTCACGGCACCTGCCTCCCTAGCAGTGCTGCAGGTCCTTGAATTAAAAATCTTGCAGCTGATGGTGCTGAAGTTGTTGGTAAAAAAAAATAATAATACATATTTCTAGAAGAAACCAAAAATAATTGTCCATAGGAATTGAAGAGGCCATAAAAAGATCACCCTAGAGTCAGCACCAGCATCAGGGGCACAGAAATACTTGTAAAGTCCACAATATTGCTTCCCCATGTCTTCTCCTCCTTCCTTCCCTCCTCACTTTCTGCCCAGATTCATGTAGATTTCAAACACCTGACTTTAGAGCAAACCTCTCTGACAACCTTATCACTGGTGTCTGTTGATTGTTATTTTAGTCTCCAGTGGTCAGGCTGTTGTGTTGTTGAATCCTTCAAAATCCCTATCCATTTGGAGCCTCGGTCATTTTCATTTGTGGCTGCTGCTTTGTAGTAATCACCGAAGTCAGTTTTCATCCTGGTTCTACTGAAATTGACCAAACATCTACAACAATGATTTTTGACACTAACAGTAAGAACTCCTCAGCACCTGTCAGGTCTGCAACATCCCACTCAGGATAAAGTGGGCTTCAAACCCTTGCAGCCCAGCCTCAGGATGAAACTGAGTGCTACCCTGTGCTGTTTGACAGTACTGCACAACACAAGGAATGCAGATGGAGAATCAAGACACAATCCTAGGTTTTTCTAATTCTGAATACAGAGAGATCAGTTGCCTGGACAGCGAATGCTCTGGCAGATTCCTGTTGATTTTCCATAGAGAGAAAAGTAGAAGAAAGTGTCTGGATTAATTCTTCTTACTGTTTGTGTCTGAGGTCAACGGATATGCTTTAGTTGTTTCATCTGAGGTGTTCTCTAATAAAACAGAATCTAGTTATTTGATCTTCCTAAAAGTACAGTGATTTAGGTTTAATATCTGACAGATGAAGTCAACATATTTTCCTTGTGTGAAAGCCTTCAATAATGTTCATTTTGACATCTAAGTGAAAATTGGAAACCACTCTTTTTTTTTTTTTTTTTTTTTTTTTTTTTTTTTTTTTTTTTTTTGCAGTACTGGGGATTGAACTCAGGACCCTGTGCTTGCCAGGCAAGCACTTATTCTACTGAGCTATTTCTCTGGCCCCTACTCTTTATTTTTAATAAATTACATTATACTGTTTCATTTGTATACAAAAGCATTACATGTCACTGTTATTTTCTATTTTATTTCAAAAATAAAGAACAAGAACTAAGACAAAAGCAAAAACAAAGCAACAAAATAATAAAAATGGTATGTTGCAAAACAAAAATAGGAAATTAACAATGGTTGTTATATTACATATTGTTTTCATCCAAAATGCTGCTCAGACTACCAGATATAGGCATGTAAGATTGATCAATTAAAACATTAAATCTTTCCATCAACTATGAAATTTTTTCCTCCTACTTTTTATTGCTTTAATTTATTTTAAAGAGAGTATAAAAATAATAGTTAAGATATTATAAACTATGTTCCACTCAAAGTATTGATATCTATGAAAATTTGGAGAAAATTATTTTTCTCTATTGTTTTCTGTAAGATATCTCCTTATAAAGATACAATAAGATGCCACTCCCAAATGCCACAAAACGACTTTCTTCAAATATAATGTCATCCCAGATAGCAATAAATAATGTGATATTAGAGCAAGAGGATCAATACATTATGTCTGGCTTTTTAAAAATGTATTTGGTACAAGGTCTCACAATGCAGCGTGGACTCACAGTGATCATCCTGTTTTCAGCCTCCCTCGTGCAGAGATTACAGGGGTGCGCCATCATGCCTGGTCTCTGACTGCCAGAATAGATAGTGGGGAAAGGGATTGAATTTATTCAAAAGGAAAGAGTTGCTGAACTGAGAAGTACCGGAGAGGGAGTGGGGAAGTAAATTTATGTATGTAAGCAGGATGGTTTGGACAACAATACTGTGTATTTCTGCTGGTCTATGGAAAGGAACAGTTAATGCTTTAATTTGTTTCATCTCCTGTTTTTAATTGTACTTTTTCTCTTCTTTATTTCTTATACATTTCTTTATTTTTTTCTTTCTTCCAACTTTATATGCATGTATCTGGTAATATAAATAACTGATTAGAAGACAACGCTAAGTATTATGAGAAGTACTGTGAAATTCCTATTACTTTGTTAAGTGACATTCTGAACCACTGTAATTTGTTCTTTTTTAATTCTGGTATGCATTCTTTTTTTAAAAAAAAGTACATTATGTCTTTAGTCTGTATAAGAAGATGTCCTGAGAAGACAGGGATACACAGAGGAAGTATCACGAGGAAGTAGAGACTCAGCATGGACATGTGCAACAGTAGGTCAAAGAGTACCAAAAGGATCCACAGCTGGGATACTGGAAGAGGAAAGGAAAGAGTCTCCTAGAGGTATCATGGGGAACATGGCCCTGCTTGTCAGTGATGAATGACTAACCTTCAAAACTGTATATAGGATGCTTTATTTCTGTTATTACTTCCCACAGTTTCTGATACTGTGTTATTGT